TCAACCTCGGCCCAACGGTGGCCGAACTTGCACGGTGCCCAAGGTGCCCTTGGGCACCCAAACAATTAGATTTGGACCCGAGACTTGTGTCTATCCCAAAGAGACCACGCAAACTAAATGCACCTTAGCTTCAAAGACCTTCAAAGCTCAGTGTTGTGAGATGTGTTGAGTGAAGTATTCTCTAAACTACCCATTGGTGCCCATTAGCAGGATATGGCCATGATAACAAAACCCAGCGGGAAGTGGAAAGGTATTGAGTGATCAGGTGTAAGCTGGTCCCTCAACACAACCTCCCATCGCCTGAGGCAAGTCCCGATTCGTTCGTCACTGATGACAATGAAGCCGTGGAGGTGAACACACGTGTTGTTGGTCTTTTTTGACAGTGAACATCGGTCTTTGTGCCTTTGTGCCTTTGTGCCTGTGCAAGAAATCAGCAAGGATGCAACCCAGCAGCTTCAACTTTCCTGGTTACAAAGTGGGGCCAGTTAAACATGCTGTGAGCTCACAAAGCACTTCTAGGAAAGCTGATTGGTGGACACCCAACCTTCCTGAGACACCCAAGTCTTTCCCACATATTGTCAAAGCCACTGAGAAAGGTCATCTTGGTAGTTTTTGTTGCCCTTCTTCACCTGCCGAAAAGGCTCGGGCATGTTTGCCATGGTTGTAGCGAGCTTCCCCAAGAGACTGAGGACATGAAAACAACCAAATATATAACCAAATGCAAAAATCACGGCACGCAGCAAGAGCATGAACATGCAATGCAGGAGATCAAGCACAAAGACTCCGAATTTGAAAGTACATGGCATGGCTCCTGTAGAGGTTTTTCAGAAGTCAGGTAACAGGTAACTTTCTTCTGCAAGACACGAGCTGACTGCGGTGAGAGGCAAGAGCTGGGTTTGATGCTGAATCGTCCACAGGAAGCACTCAATGGATAGAAGATTAGTCCATCAAATGACGTGGCACTGGTCCCCCAAAAACTCACAGACCAAGAATACTCAGCGTGTTCCATACGTTTTCTCTTCTTCAGCACGGTTCCAGCTCACGAGGTCCCACACCAATGCATTTCTGGGGGGAAGGGGGTGGTCTTCTGACCTACCTTGCGGTGTCTGTCAATGAACTCATGGTTCACCTACTGGTTCACCTACCCACCAAGGAGCAAGGATTGCACTGTGAACAACGCCGGTGTCTCTGAACACTTCCAAGACAAGTTTTGTATGACTGGCCTGCAGAAGAGCATGATTGCTTCTTGATTGAGACACTGTGATTCCAAGCGTAACTCAACAGCAACAAAATGAGCCAACCTGTTCAACAAAACATCTCAAGTGTCAGGGGACAAGTACGATGGACAATGACTTCACTGGTCTTGAGATGTCGGGGGTGCATCTGCAAGCGTTTTCGGGAGCATGTCTTCTTTCAACACGAGGAACCACCAGTTATACTTAAAGTCCAAGACCAACGACGCGGCGTGTGGCGATTGTTGTGCCTTGGATCGAAGGGTGTTGAAGGCTTTGGCCTTGTTCTCCGGCAGCTTCTCCCCCTGGCTCCGGCGAAGCTTCGAAGCCGGGAAGGAGAAGTGATCCCGACTGGCCCGCACCTAGGGACACAGTGGTGAAGTTAGCGAAATGATGCCTGGTAATCCTTGAGAATCACTGACACCATCAGGAAAAGGAGGAACATGGAGGAACTGTCAAGAAGCTGGTGGAAAGGCCTTTCTGCAGTTCGATCTTTTGATACTAGTGGACTAGTGGCTGATGGTTTTCTTTGTCGGTGAACGTTCAGAGTGACATTGCTACTATACACCCCCGCATGACAATACGAATTGTAAGGCGCCTGCTAAACGGGATCTGATAAGTCAAGACTGCGCAAAAATGGGCTGACATAACTCACTTGTCACCCAGTTTCCTGATTCGACGTGCAGGTCAAGAGAATCACCAACACTTCACCGGCCTTGCTTTTCTTCTCCTGGATCTTTTCGTGGGTCTTCCTCAATTCAGCTCCGCAGATTGAAAAAACATGCGTCCATCGTTCCTCCCGGGCCACTCTGGCCAACCAACCAAAACCTACTCTTCAAATTGATTGATTCTGCCCTTCACCGTGAGCTGCATTCCACTTATATTTGTGTTTTCTTCACCTGCATCACCTGCATCACGTTCGTTTACGTCGACAAGCCCGCGGGCTTGTTTAGCGCGTTCGTGTCTCTGAGTCCCTCGGTTCGGAACTGCCAAGGGTCTCCACATAGTCTTCTAAGGCCGCGATGGCCTTGACAAACTGCTTTGGAGGTCCACCGTCTGCCTCAACCTGTGGTCGACTCGTTCTGAAGAACTCTCAAGCTCCCATGGGTGGAATGGTCTTTAGACGTGGGTGGTTGAATGGTTGAGTTGAATGATGTTGAAGTGTGCTTTTCCCTCATGGTGGAAACCAAAAGAGTTGGCAACAGGTTGTCTACCAGTTGTCACTTGTAATTTGATGTCCATCTTTTCTTGAGAGGTTTGACTGGTGGGTTGTATATACGAACATTTCTACCGTCATTACTTACTGCAGTACGAGTGCAATAGCCGGTTAGATCCGGAAAGCAAACGTGTTTTGGTGGGAGCTCCAAACCGCCGCCCGGTAACCCATGTATTGCATGCTGAACCACCCCAGCAAGTCTGTTACATTGACATCCAGCCACGTCCAGCCATACTCCGTGTCATTCAACTTCACTGGGGTCGAGCCAGTCATGGAGTCCGCATCTGGTCTCATTCGGTTGCAGAGAGGGGATCAATTCGGCTCCTCGGACCCTGTTGGTTTCAACGGACACATGGAGAAAATGAACAACGCAAACCTGAAACACTCAAATCGTCTCAATCATTGCTTGATGGTCACCTGAGGGGGACCGGATACCAAAAACTATAATGATCCTGGCACATGGGACTTCGAGGTCTCTGCGGTCCAGCGTCAATTCAAGACAGTGGATGGGGAAACTCATCCTTTAGTCAGTTGTTGTATGCCTTTGTGCCTTATGCAACACATCCATGTACAGAAATCCCTCCATTAGAATTCTTCTGCAGCTACTCACTTGTTTGCCGCCGACACTCCAAGCCAGGACAGTTCCCATACACCCCTGAGTTTCCAGGGGTTAATTCGCAGCCCCGCGTCGTCATGTCGGGTGTGCAGTTCGTCGAGGCACCTGCTTAAAAGGACCAATGCCTGGCCTTCAGTCTATAAGTATATATATATAGTGTCAATTGTCGATATACAACAGATATATAAACATGCATGGGCGGGTCAAAACTCTGTGTTTTGCATTCCACAACTCAATCTGTGAACCATGATAGGAAAAGCGAACGAGAACCTGAAAAAAGAACCAACAGCAGAACGGAAAATACAGGCTGCAAAGGCAGCAAAGGCTCGGAGGGGGATCAAAATGCCAACATTTTGGATCTGGACCTATAGGACCCCATCGCGTGATATATGTCAGTTAAGATGCCTTGGCATGAATGACCAATGTTCCCAGGGGGTGGCGACCCATTTTGACCCCGTGCCACAGTCATGCACCCTTTGGCAAACCAAACATGAAGATTGAGTTTCATTTCATCAGCCGTATTCAGGGTCGCCCCAAGCTACCCAACCAAATGGTGGAAAACACATACACATTTGTGTGCCCCACCTGAGAGCCATCTACGTACCTGTTCAAGCTTGTGTGGCCACCGTGGTATTGGTGCCTTTCCCTGCATTGGTGCGGGCATCACGTAAAGTAGCCAATTTGGCACAAGCGGCTACGCGACAACACTGTGGGAGTGGGTAGCCAGCCCATCAAAGGCGTTCTACCATTTAAGCTCCCACGTGATTCCAGATCTGTTTTGCTGACGCATGTTCCAAGCCAATCTCCATCTGTCAAATAACAATCGTTTCTACCGATACAGCACATGCTCAAGCATCAGTTCAATAGAACAAGGCACGCGCACACTGGCTCAGGTTGCATCACAACAATTATCACCTGGCGAGTTTGCAGCCTTGGTGGCTGTCTTCATTATGCACAGGCACTACATGCGAAGCAGGCTTCCATGGGCTTACCACCCTCAGGCTCCTCAGGTCTCATTGATCTCAGGAGCTGTGCCTGGCGCATCTCCTGTGCCCGCTCATCGTTGTTGTCCCGGATCTTCGTGAGGCCCGTGTACAAACCGCCCAAGACCGGGGGGCCCAGCAAGGCGCCTGACATGGTGAGAGGATTATGCAAGAAGAGCGAGGCTTGGGCAACCCTGGCCTTTAGACAAGGCCGCCAACATTGTTTCATGAAGCGGTGAACTTGAACTTCTACAGGAATTTACTTGATTGAAGTTTTTGTCGAACTTAGGATCATGGTAGTCTCTGGGTCTGTCATAGTTGGGTGACACACCAACCTGTTGATCATGAATTTTCATGGTGGCAACTGTTCCAACAGCAAATTCCCCAATGATGGGTTGTTTTTTCCCTGTGTTTCCGTCTTCTCTGCAACTGCCAGCATTTTTTGTTAGGGAAACTAGTTGATGGCTACCTGGTCCTACTGATATGACGCAGCGCGGAGTGCTCTGTTGAACCATCCGGCGCCTGCGCCGACCAGCAAACCTGTGATCATGGGATGGTGCCAATCGAGCTGGGCATAGATGGGGCACTCGCTCCTCAGAGGAAGAACTTACCAAGTCATTCCCATGCTACAGCAACCGTTTCATCCCACATGTGATAGGGATGAAACAAAATCATTATAAATCATGTATAAATATATAACATATAAATATATATACGTATCATATATGTGCACGTTTGTGTTCCTGAGTCGAGGCTGAAATTATCCCATGACCTCTTTTGGCCTGCTAATTGTTTTGTATATGACTGGGTGCACTCGCCCACCACTTGGCCGTCAATCCATCTTTTCTGACCACATAGAAGTGGGCTAAACAATCACCAGGAGAAAAAACCCGCAAAGGATGAGAGCATTACCACAACATCGTGATGGTATTACAATGGTTTCACCTGTTGCTCACCAAATACTTGTTGTGCGAGACACCTTTCAAGGATGGCTATATGTTTGACCCCGCTTGTCCTTTACGGTGAACAAAAACAAGGGACTAACGACTCAAGTATTGCCTGTCAAGTAGTGACTGTCCCTCTTTCCTCCAAGCATTCCAGGCTTCAATGGCCGGCCACAGGGCGCCGAATCGTCCGTGCCAATCCTGGGAAGGCTGGCAGACCGCCCCAAAGACCCATTAGAGCAGTCATACGAGGGCAGGGGATCAAAAACAAAGAAGGATCAATGAAAAACAAACCAAAGCATTTGAACATCAAAGAAAACAGCTGGGCATCAACAAAGCACATCAAAGAACAACATCTAGTGTGGAAATGAATCCAGCACTGGCAGCAAACATCATAGCGCTCTTTTCTTGAGCCAATCGCGAGAGCGAAAGTCGGGTGCAGTCTCCTCAAGCTGGTCAGGTCCATGAGCAATCCGGGTCAGTGCATGACATGTTCCTGGTTTCACCTTCGTTTTCACATTCGTCTTTCTTCTGACCTCGATCGCTCTTGGACCCTTGCAGCTCGATCTTCAAGGAAAGGCCGTTCATGGCCGCTCGGACGTCGCTTGCGTCCATGTGCTTCGTGAGGGCGTCGGCCAGCATCGTCTTCGTGCTGATCCACAGCACTCGGGTGCTGCCGTCTTGCGGCGGCTGGTCGCTGAACAGCGGGTCGCCCACTTCCTCATGGCGTCGACGCCAGATCATCTGGCGCATTCCGCAAAGGTCTATTGCGAGCCTCTTGTCGTTCACCTCTCCGAGCCCCTGTTGCGTCAAGTGGTCGGACAGACTGCGACAGTCTGTCAGCTTGATCAGATCTGTCCCGTCCTGGGCTCTCATCCTCCAGTTGGGATCACCTTGGTCGTGGCCATGATGTAGTCCATCCAGGATCATCCTCAGGTGCTCCCCGTCCTCATAGCCAGCCAGCATACTCAGACTCTCAGCCTGAAGTGTGCTTCGACACACCCGTCGAATCACGGAGCTTTTCCATTCCAAGATGTGGATCGGGCCTCCACTCTTGTCGATGAAGTCTGGCCCACAGAAAGCCAGAATCCTCCCAGATTGGGAGCGAAAGCCAAGGCGCTGTCCAGTCGACGAGAGGTCATAGTCGTTGGCGTGGCTCGCGTCGGTGATGGAGAGGATCTTGAGCTCTTCAAACTTGAAGGGGCGCCACACGTAGGTCAGCCGCTGATCCTTGCTGAGCATCGCCCTCCTGAGCAGTGAGTTACAGTCCACCAAATCTTGGACACAGGGCTTCTGGACACAGCTTTGTAGTCGGCTGGTGTTGTAGGCCAGATCGGGCCGGTTGACACGCACAATCCAGTTCAAGGAGCCAAGAACACTCCTCATCTGAGATTGCTCCTTGTGGGTGGCTTCTCCTCCTCGGTTGGCCTTCCTGGCTGTTGACAGGGCAATTGGTGTAGTCCTTTCAAGACCATGCGGGCATGTGACATGGATGCCCTCGTCGTCCTGTGAAATCATTCTGCCACAGAACTTGAAGGTGGTGTCGGCGGTACGGCCAAACTTCAGCTTCTTCTGGACGTTGTCCATGGCTTGCTGGGTGAGGTCTCCTCCACACCAGAGTAGGTCGTCCACATGACTGATCACCAGTCCATCCACAGAGCCATCCGGCTTGTTCATCACATAGGCGGCATTCCCATGTGGAATGGGACGTAGTCCAAACTCCTTCATGGTGTTGTGGAGGCTCTTCCAAAATCCTCGTGGAGCATCCTTGGTGCCATAGACAGGCTTCCGTGCCACAAGCAGTGATCCGGGCGCCACTCCTGGTACACCATCCAGTGTTAGCTCATGATGAGCATTCTGGAAAGTCCAAGCCCTTGTAAGAACGCCGCAGTGATGTCTCCACTGTGTAGGCGTAGACCATTGCAGCTGGCGAAGGAAAGAACCATGCTCAGCATCAAGTGCGATGCTGTGGGTGAGTCAGTGCGAACTCCTCCTTGATGTGCCTGGTTTCAAGATCTCCACGAACAACCAGGCGGCTCTTCAGCTGTTCTTCTTCTCCTTCATCCGCCTTGTTGACATCTACCCATCGCATGGGTACCACTTGTGCTCGAGGATGTTTCTTGCGGAATCGCTCAGCATCTTGAGGTGGGATCACCTCACAAGCATCGAAGTTGGTCCAGTTGGTCCACTCTTTGTGCCTGGTTTGATCAAGCTTCGCCTGCATCTCTGGTGAGGCTCTGGAGTAGTTGATCTCCTTGCTGCCGGCACTCTTCTTCTTGTAGTTGGTGCGCCGGGCCAAGAATCCTCGCAGACAGGTCGACTGTATCTTCTGTCGGCGGTTCTGCGTAGCATAGAAGGTTCTCGGCGGTGTCCTTGACCGTTGTCTCGAAGATGAACTGGATGTAGGATGTCCATCAAGTCCTTCCAGTGATCTCCACATAGATCGCTGCAGTGGTGTAGGCGTAGTCGTGGTGGTTGGTGTGCCTTCGGTTGTTGCTCTTGTTCGCTTGGAATCCGGTTCAATGTCGGGCTCCTCCACGGATGAATGTCGTGGTAGATCTCCAAGTTCATTCATGGCCTCTTGGAATTCATCGAACTCGACCTCTTGGTCATCATCAGGTACTAGTCCTGGAGGTTCTTCTGGACCTTCGGCTGGTACAGGAACTGCAGCTACCTCTTCCAGAGTGAGTGGGTCTGCAGGTAGTCCAGGTGGTGGTTCAGGATGTTCGTCTCCAGGTGGTGTTGATGTTGCCACCGCGGGTGCTGAAGACATTCCTTGTTCAGGTTCTTCCCTGGTTCTGATGCTCCTGGAGCTGGGTGATCTTGATGTCCAGCATGATCTCCTCCGGGGCGTCCAACATCCAGGTAGGAGTCCTGATGCTCCTCATCAGATTGATTTGCCATCAGGTCATCGGCAAAGGGAACTTCATCTTCATGATCCTGTAGGATCTGCCGCTTCCTCTTGCGTGATGGTCGAAGTTCCAGGAGTTGTTTGGCCACAACTTCTCCTTGAAGAGCTGGTCGACATGATTCCTCACTGATGGTGATGGGGACTCCACCATGAATCAACCAAAGGTTGCTGCGGCCTTCTCGTCCAATGACCCGTGCTGGTCCATACCAGCGTCCAACTCGAAAGAAGCATACCAGATCTCCTGGTACATAGGGTCCACGAAGTGGCGTAGATCTCCGCAACAATGAAGTCCTGATGCGGCGGCTGCTGTCGGCATACTCAAAGCTTCCTTGGCAGCCTGTCGGATGTTCAGCTGTTGTGCGAACTCGGTTTCTCCCGTGACCATCTCTTCATGAACTCCAAGACGGTTGGGCGCTTGCTCAACTGTCAGGCTGGTCACGTCATCTGGCAGCTTGCCCATGACCCATTGAGTTGGGCTGAAACCAGCATGGTTCACACGACAGTTCTTCACGAAGGTGGATTCCATCACAGCCATTCGCATCCCTGAAACGCCGACGATATGTCGTGCTGCCACCGTGTTCTTGATGATCTCCTTCAGAAGTGAACCTTGACGTTCTGCTCGACCAATTTGATGATGAGCCTCCGTACCAGCGTAGCGGATGTAGACTCCTTGTGCAGACATGAGAGCAGCAACTTGTCCACGGTTGGCCACTCCTCTATCGACAGTCAGATACTTTGGAGGGCCAAAGTGGGTGAACCAGTGATCTCGGAAGATCTCTGCACACTTTTGACTGCTGGGAGTTCCGCCCTTGTCGGAGACGATCCAAGCGCTGTGGTACAGAGTGCCCATGTCGATGATGGAGAGAACGGTGTATATACCTGTTGCCAAGTCCATCTCTCACCTCAAAAGCATCAGAGGTGATCTCAAAGTTGAAGGTGTATGGACTTGGTGGTCGAACAACAGGTCGTGGCTGTGGCTTCTTATGGTGCTGGCATGTCTCGCATTTGAAGTACTTCACCTTGTTGATGACTTCTGGAGCTGCTCGAGCGACACGAAGCATGCGAGCCATAGCACCAATGCTGGAATGCCCAGTCATTTGATGTAGTCGTCGTAGAGCGACTCGCTGGGCATAAGGTACTTAGGTGCTTTTCACGCTTGGCTGAGATATAAGCCCACTTATAACTAGGTCAAGTCCACTTATAAGTTCGCCAAGCGGAGTTATAACGTGGCTATGTGTCAGCTAAGTCATTTATAAGTCCAGCTGAACATATATCTGAAATATAAACGTTTAGTTGACTTATAACTGGACTTAGGTTCAACGTAAAATCAACGTAAATATCTGGTTATAAGTCACTTAGCTAAGTGGGCTAAGTCAACGCAATTTCTCGTAAGATTTGCAAGCGCGCCATTTTCCGCCATTTTTTTGGTGGTTTCGGCGTTTTGCGCTATGGAAAAATGCCAGTCCTGAAGCCAAGTTTTGCTCAGCAAAGCATCAGCCCTGACAGGTGGGATTCGCCCACCGAAACCTTCAAGGTTTTGGGTTGAGGCTCGCCCAACTCCAAATCTGTGGCTCGCCCGGCAGGAGCCATGGAGGCAGCCCAACCGCCGATGATGGAGGGCCACTTGGGGCCGTTTCCTATCAAAGGCACTCTGACGGCTGAACAACGGCAACGGATAAAACAGGCGACCGGCTGCAGTGCTGCGATCCGTGAAAGGACCGAGTGGGGCCTAAGAATGCTGACAGTGACCGGGCCTGTGGAAAAACTACAGGAAGCACACCGGCTGGCCACGCTGGCCGTGGAGGAGAACGGTGAAGATGGGGGGAGGGTTCCCGAACCCAAGCAGCCTCCTCCGGCCAAGAAGCAGTGGCAGGACAAAGGGTGGTCCGACTGGCGGCGCCAAGACTGGCCTACCAGGGAAGAAGTAGAGGATCTTCAACGCCGGCTGCGTGCGGCAGAGCAAGCTGCTGCAAACAAAGAGTGGAGGCTCCAGGCGCTGGAGCACTGGTACTGGTGGTGCAACAGTGGCAGCAGTGGCAGTGGAGATGCTGCTCCTAAGCAGGCAGCGCGCTGGGCCGAGCAAGAACCAAGCCAGAAAGGCAAGAGGCCGCGCAGGAAGCGACTTTCGCCGGAGAATTCTCGTGGCGCAAGCGAGGCGACGCGGCTCCCTGCGAGCGAGACTGAATCTTCTGAGGCCACCGTCCTGCCTGCAGGCCCGGCGTTGAGCCCTGTCATGGAGGAGATCAAGAAGAAGCGCAAGAATTACAGAAAGAAACATGATGCCCGAGAA